TGCCTCCCGCCTCATTGAAATGCCCCTCCTGAAAAAGTTTTATTGACCAAAAGTAAGAAGATTTTGTTGATTTAATTTTTGTGCCTGTTATCACACGCACAAAACAAAACACTGAAATGCAGTATCAGATCTATGCACTATTAGTTGATGGTAGATATTTCTTTTTTAAGTCAGAATAAGTATTTACTGTTTACTGAGATTTTTACCAAAAATTTAAAATTTATCTTCAATTTTGAGAAAAAAAAAAAATTTCCTCCCTCCTATGTCTGAAACCATTCAGGCGGCAATTCCAAACAAACAATTTTTTAAGGGTGGCCTTAATCAAATTGTAACTGGTACCTTGCATCAGGTGGCAATTCATTGATTACTGCATACACAGGCCAAACACCAAATTTTGATGACTTGAACACTGCAACTCCATCAGTATTAATTTGAAAAGATAGGTGCAGTTGAAGATTCCTCTCTTCCTTGGTTGTTCCATGGAAAAAACCACTGCTATCAAAATGAGTTTTGTATACATTTCCATTGTAGACATCTTCTATAATGGATGTGTTTCCTCCTTCACTCCTTTCAAATTTTCTTGTTCTTATAATGTCAAGAACACCTGGTCCTAAAAAAAACATCATACAATATAAATGAAATCATCAATACATTTTGTTGGATATAAACATTATGAATTTTAACAGACGACCAAAATTTGTTATTAAATCATTGATAATCACTGCAATAAAATTTATGGTTGAACATTAGTTACATCTTAATTGCAAGCTAGAATGATAAAACAAGTCTAAAAAGAAAATGACTCACTTTTCAAAATTGTTTCCATTTGGTCCTTCAACGGTATGGTGATGAAATATTTTATACAGTTACTGGTCAAACAGTTCGGACATTTTTCGATTTTTGCATCCTTTTCTGAAACGTCAATGCTAAGGAAACACTTTTCACAGAAATAGTTATATATAAGAGGTGTCTTTAAACGCTTAAAAAAGTCCTGGTACATTGTAATGGTGGCCTGGCAAATATTATTTGCAGGACAATGCACTTCAATAAGATTCAATAAATCACAAAGGGCAACTCCTGATAAGTTGTGTCTTGTAGCAAATGTAACAATCAGCAGCATACTCATGCTAACAGTAAGCCTGCTTCCTTGAAATAAAAGTTCATTGTCAATATTACTCTGATTATCACTACTTTTTTGGTCTAACTTTTGTTTTTCTTCCTCCAGCATTTCTTCCACCATTATGTCAAATTCGTTTGGAATTTCACCATTGTCATCAATTAATTCTTCAATTGTTTCTGAAACTAAAGTAATTTGTAATTCATTATTGTAGTGAGATAAGGTGGATAAAATAAAATAGAAAAATTTAATGCTAATTACTAAATTTTAAATAAAATAATTCATCATCAAATTTATAACACTGTATTCATTTTTATATTTTTTTCTAAATAGTAATGTTACAACAATTGTAAAGTCAGCTGCACATAATTAAAACACAATAAACTTGCAATCATAGCTAGTTCCACTTATTAATCTCATAAACTGACATCTTTTTCATTATTTTTATTAACCAATTACCATATCAATAGAGTGACACCCCTTTTTTAATATATTTTTTAATACATTCTTTTTCCAATATGAAAGAGTTATATCTTTGTGAAAAAGTCGAAAAATATACAAATCATGCAAAATTTCTGGGACAAACCATAAACATCTAAACAATATGTTGATTGAATGTCGATGAACAAATTCATACAAAAATGCAAATGAAATAGTTTCCTGCTGTGGACCTAATAAACATCAAGAGTAGGAAATACAACAATGTCAATATTTATATTTATTCTTGGTCATTGTATCTATTTATTTTATGGTACATCTTAATGAATATCCTCGGAGGTCCATGAGTTGTTACCCTAATGAGCTAAAGTCCATTTTTAAAATAAATTTGAGACACTGTTTCATTTCGCAAGTCATATCTTACTGACTTAGTTGTAAATATTTTTTTCTTTGATCGATTAAACTGAAAGTTTAAAAAACAATCATGCCTTTATTAATTGTTTACGTTTTGTTCAAAGTATTAATGTTAACCCGAAACCATTTTGAAACACAGGTCCTTGGGTCGTGACAATAGTAATACAGACCAAAAATTCCAAATCGTAATGAATGACATAGCACCAATACACTTGAGATAGGACGTAAGAAAAAATATCAAATATTTTCTCTTTAAACATAGTAATAGCGGATTTATCATAAGTAAGGGGAAATTTTGTTTCTGTTTATACTTTTGTCTCTGTCGTCCATTTCATCTTCAGCAGCTGTAAAATATGACTAAAAATCGATCAAAATAATTTTTTTCCTGACAATTTGGTGCAGCAGGGGTCAAAATCTTGCACGATATTCAAGAAAAATACAAGGTGCATGACTCTAACCATAAGGAATTTAGGGCCTCCGACGATACATGCCTCTGAAATGTATTTTTTATTAAGAGAGGGAATGCGGGTGGGTACGACCCGATTCCTTGTTCGACCCGCGTGGTTTCGACCCTTTTCCTTGTTCGACCCGGTGGTTTTGACCCGAGTGGTTTCGTTCCAAAGCAATATTAATTATAACAATTTCGATTGTTTAAAAACATTTTTTGGGGTCTAATTCAAAATATTCAGATTTTTTTAACCGATCGTGACTGCTTAATTATTATTAAAAATATTGCTAAATAATTATGTTTAATATTTAAACCATTTAAAATACATTTATAGACAATAAATTCGTATATTATCCCAAAAAAGAGCTGATTAGTTTTTAAGGAAAAATGTTCAAATATAAATTATTTATATATTCTAAATGAAATTAATTGCATCCTTGTCCTAAAAACAATCTCAAGTTTACTATTGACAAAATTTGACTTCAATGTTGAAACCAATAATTGACACGTGAAACTATCCCTCCCTGAAGCCATACAGTTACCGTGAAACCATGTGTATACCTAAGGTATACACCATACCTTATAGTGTGAACCCCTCTATTTACCTGTATGTATATAATTATAAGTAGGTCGAAACCACTCGGGTCGTTACCACGCGGGTCGAACACGGAATCGGGTCGTAACCACTCGACACCAAGAGAGGGATGATAAATTCAGGGTTCTGACTCTCTTACACATTTCTTTAAGTTCTATTATTTAATTGGATTGACAAATACATTTAACATTTAAAATTGGAATGAGTTAGCTTTTGTGTTTTCCATGCTGTCTCAGTTAGATGACCAAACGCGCCTCTACTTATGAAGAGTTTGCTAATGGAAAGAAACGTATTGGTATAATTTATCAATAAAATTTATGCGGATTCGGAACTGCGACATTCTAGTGTATATGAAGCAGAAAGGTTTACAAAAAACTAAAAATTAACACTGCACACTGAAAAAAAATGTTACGAGTATAGTTCGAATTTCCTCGACAATACATTATATTGAAAAAATACACTATCCTTGACCCAAGCGCCTATGGTTTTTACTACCAAAAAAAACTATACATACCATCAATTTCCTCAACATTTGACTCATTATCTTTCTCTTGTTTTCTCCACTTCGATGTCCTCGATGTTCCCGCATAGGGCCCGCGTCTTTTTGACGCCATTTTTGTTATTGGTCAAATCGTGCAGAAGCTATTCGTTTCGTAACTTTTTCTTCCAAAGTTCGAATTCACAGATATTTCACATTTCTGTTAATTTTTTTACTGGAATTATTCTAAATAAATTATGAATTAGTCAATTTTATTGTCGTTTAAATAAATAAAAAAAAAAATAGTGGATGATGAAAATCGTACGATGTACTTCCGGTACTTAAAGTTCCTTGTTCATGACGTCAGTAGTTGAAAGCGCGGCAATATTTAGGTCTAGACAATGTCGAAATTGTTAGCCCTTGTAGAATGGCAGGAGGAAGGATTTCCCCTCGGTGTTATAAATCTACGTTCCATAGACAACCCTCGTCTCCCATTCGAAGATTATACACTTGGATTAGACATTGATGCCAAATGCCAGGGATTTCCCGGGTCACATCCCGCCAAAATTTTAAAGATCGGCGGTAGGTTCACAAATTAAATTGTAAGCAATATAATCTGTAAAATCATTTGCTCATTTATAATTTATTGTAAATTTCAATATAAGATAAATATCTCGTTTTCTTGTTTGATACTATCACATATAAATGATGATAGATTTTTTCCATTGAGGTAACTTAAGCAAGAGTTATTCCCCATGACCGCCATGTTGTAGGGCAACATTCACACTCCCAGATCCCTTCATTGTTCAACCAAGTTCAATTTGTTTTGCTGGTTAATGAGGAAAAGTTAACACATTTTTCTTATAAAAATATGTTTGTTAAAGCCTCAATTAATTCATAGTAATATGTTTAAAATTGGTTGATCAAAGAAGAAAATTCACTGCTTTGCCCTACAAGATGGTGGCTAAGGGGAATAACTTCGAGGTAAAATTAAAAATATGTCAAAGAAAAACCATCTTAAATGAAGAATGTTGAAAACCTGAGTTATTTCCCTCATTTACTGTGTCAAAGTCAACTAATTATATGGCTTAAATTCACCAGAATCAGGTCCTCAATGGCAGTGGGAAGTCTGTTTGACATGTAATACTCTTGCTAAAAATTTAATTAGTTTCAATTCAAAGAAATATGTCCAATATGAAGATAATTGAACTCTTTCTAAATGTTAATAAATATCAATATATTAAACTGTACATTTTATAATAGATGATAGAAAAGAATTACACAAGGAAATGGTTCTACTTAGGACTACACCTAGATTGTGTTCAACGGAAGAAGAAACTTGGTAATTATATGTATTGATTTATTTATGGATTATCACGATTTGAATGTGTACGTTGAATGTAAAAAAGGGGGAAAGCAAAAATTATTGTGTAAATGGGATTTGTATCTAATATATGTTGTGACTGCATGCAGAAATTTAAAATGTTTTACTCTATAAAAATATATTTCTTTTTATACATTAACAGTTAAATCCCCCCCCCCCATTCTTTTAACTGATAAGTTGCTAAAATTTACATTTTTTCATGCTGGATATATAATTATATAAATGAATCATGCACAACCAGTTTACCACTGCTAAAAATACTATAGTCTCTCTGTTTACATACTAATATACCACTTACAAACTAATCTTGTTCATTTTTTTTAATTTAACTTAAATTTTTGGCATGATAATTTTAGCTTTAAGCAATATTGTAAATTTTCTATTTTAATATTTTTCTCAAAACATTTTACAGCATGCCTCAGCAAAAATCAACCGAAAAGCAGCTTCAAGGGAAAGATGGGAATAAGACACAGAAAGTAGAAAAAGCAAAGAAGAAGACGGAAGAAGCCATTGACAAGAAAAAGGCACAGGAAGAAATAAGGAAAAAGAAATTCGAGGAGAAAAAAACCGAAGCATTTTTGAGGAAAAAAGCAAGGACAGAGTTAAATAACAAAATTTTGGGAGAGCTGAATTTAGACTTCAATAGGTATTAAAACCTTTTTACACACTATATAGTATAATACATGTATTCCCCGTTTTCAAAAGTGAGTTATCTCCCCTCAAAATCGGAAGTCTTCTACACTAGCCTAACTTCCGCGGACTACGCAATACGATAATCCAACAAAAAAGTGATCAACTTACACGTTGTATTTAAAAATTTTAAAAGAAGGAATCAGTTTGCATTTTTTTTTAGATAATAAATTATAAATTATTTTATAAAGGGTCTGTAAGCCCCCCCCCTTCTAGAAAGCTATACAAATTAGCCAGGCACGTAGCATCGTCTTTAAAAGTGTGTGTGGGGGGGAGGGGGTAGCCAAAGATATGTTTTTTTTTCTTACCTTGAAAAGTTGACAAGCAAAGAAAAACCTTGCCCAAAGTTGAAAAATCTACTTATTTCAGTACCAGTTCCTTGGTATACAATACTATATTTCCCTTATATAACTTTACCGTAGTATTAACTCTGTGTGTGTGTGGGGGGGGGGGGCAACCTGTAGATATAATTCATATAAATGAACATTTTCAATAGAAAAGTAATATTGGGAAAAAAGTGGGGGCTAAGACCCTTGACCCCCCCCCGCATACAGGTACAGAGAACGAATATGTAAATGGGTTGAATAGTTGAATATGAGCCATAGTTGTGAAAATTAAAAAAATATTAGAATTATTAATTGTGAATTCAATAAAATTACGGTACATATATTTTTTCACAGATGTACATGTATGTCAGTTGCACGGGGTTACATGAGTCCCCCCCTTCTCTCTCTCTCTCTGATATTGATTTTTATACACTTTGCAAAAAAGAATAGCTTTTAAAAATAAGTACATGTAATTACACTGAAAGGATTAAAAAAAAAAATAACACTTGAGAAAAAAATGTTATATTAAAATTGGAAGCGGGCACGTGGAATTTGCACACTTACAAGCCCGAAGGGCATGTAAATTCTAAGGCATAAGCCTCGGTTTAATAAAATTAAATAAGACCAATAACACTAAATGTACTTTAAAGTCTTTTATTTTCCATCTAAAGTCAAGTTCAAAATAAAATTTAACTGAAATCTTATTTTACCGTGATTTCCAAGGAACTCTTCTGCAAAGGAGACTCAAAAAGTGTACAGGTTGAAAACAAACTGCGAGACTATAAATTGACAGAATGGATTTCAGATCATTTCCTTGGCATGAAATGGCAAATAAGAATAATACTATAACTTGATAAAATTCTGGGCATGTAAATATTTGTTCGGGCTTGTGTAATTGGTTATCACACCTGCCCAAAGGGCATGTGCTGAAAAAAAAAATTTGGCGAAGACTGGCTAGCTTTGCCTAGAAAACTGCTGCTTAAAGCCTTAACTATTGTGAAATTGCATTCACATTATGAATTACATGTAATACATAATAATATCAGTTGGTATCAGTCGCAAAGAATACTGTAAATGCACTATATATTGAGCATGCAGGATATTTGGCAGAAATTGAATTTAATTACAAGTTAGCGTAGATTTGGTTTAGCGCATTTCTAAATGTTCTATTTATGCTTATTTGTGCAAGAGGTTTAGCGCTGTACTTGAATTGGCAGAAGTTTCTTTCTGCCAAAAAGAATTATATGCCAAATATTATTCACCGCAAAACGTTAAATGTTTACGGTAAGTCGGCCATTTCAATGCACAAAATATTCTCTTAAAATATTGATTGGTCAATATTTTGTAATAATTCAATTATTGACTGTTGTTCATTCATATTTTATATACTTGTAGAATTCAAAATGAGAACAAAGACACTGTGACTGAGGAAGAGTTACTACCTCTTGAGGACATTGACTTTACACAGTTGTGAGTAATAGTTCTCATAGATATCTTAATTCTCAACTTAAAATAGTATGTATACAGTCTATAGATAGTAATAGTATATATAATGTAAATCATTCTTCTTTTTAGAGCAGATGTCTCTGATCATGAGGAAGATGCACTCGATGCTGAAATTACTGCTTTAATGTAAGCAAAATATGTGATTTCCCATTTGCATTAAATTTAAGTTTTATAAACAATCTGAGTTTGCATCAAAAGAGGGTTAATTGAGTTATTCAATGGTCTAAATAAGGGCTAGATAAATAAATTGTATGTTTCCAGTTCCCCGATAGACCATAAATTAAAAAAATCCGGCCATAAAAATTTTATCCACCGATATCTATCTAAAACTAAACAAATCATTAGTTTTGCTCTTGAGAAATCTTAATTCCAATCACTTCTGTTTTTGAGAAAATGCATATCCGATACAAAATTGAGCAACAAAATTTTAAAATAATATAAAATTTTTCCCTACCTACCTACCCTATTTTTCTCAGGTTGGAATAGGAAACACACTATTTATTTATCTTGGCCCAATGAGTGCTAATTTATATTATGATGTATGTTATTATTCTAACAGATGATAAATATTTTCCCATTACATTAAATTTAGAGTAATAATTGAAATTTATCCTTAGTATCAATGGTTTCATTAAAATAGAAAAATTTTATGGGTCTGTAGCAAAGTATCATATTGTGTTTATAGGGACTTGCCAGTTCAACAAGTAAATGCTAAAGGGCACAATACTGTGGCTCAAAAAGCCCCGAGAAACCGATCACTGGAGGTGAAATATGATGAAGCAGTTAAAGAAAATGCCATTCTAAAATGCAGTAGGTTAAATTAATCATTTCAAAATTTTCTGTAAATTGTATGTCTAAGTTTAATTATTAGAGAGATTGAAATTTATAACGTGTACGAGTATGTGTAAGTGTGTTATAGCTACACGCACCTGTTTTTGTAATTTATTAGTCAAGATTTCAAAACGTTTAGGATATAAACATGTACATGAATTTACTTAACTATCTTCAAATAAATGGTGAATTATCAATCTGCATGCAAATAAAGTTAAAAAATTTAGAATATATTCAATTATCAATAAGATGATTTTTGTTATAAAAACTACTTGCCTGTAGACAACACTCTACAACTAGTACAAATTTAGAAAATGCACAAAAATCTTGTCAGCACAAAAACTGATAGCTTAATACACAAAGAATTTAGGTGATTTCCTTAGTACTTGTACCCATACACGTTGAAATCTCAACCTCTCATAATAATTCAAAATACAAGTTTTTGTATAGTGTTTGTAAGTTTTGAAAAATTAAAATTTTGCAACTTCTTTTTAGAACTTTCTGAGGCTTACAAAGAGCTGGAGGATTTGAAAAGTCGGAATATGTCAAAAGAAGATAATGGTATATATGTCATTTTATCATTAATTACAGTTAAATTAGTGTGACAATGCAAGTTTCAATAGTTATTAAGATTACACTAGTTCAGAATCTATGGAACTATATACCAGTAAGACTAGAGTAATCATAAAATAAATACATTAGTTTAATTAACTTTCAATGTGTCTTTATTTAAAACAGAAACATTTGCAATTTTCATTGAAATCCTACATTTTTTTAAAAATTGAATTATTTTACAGAGGATTACACCATGCCAAAACCGGGTAAACTTTCGAGTGATGTGGCAGAAAGATACAAGGTAACTGTATTAAAAGTATTTTAGGTACTCTCTGTTATGATCAAATAATAAGTTTTGAGGGGGAAGTTTATAAGCCAATATTACTGACCTTGTTCAAAAAGCCAATATTGCTGACCTTGTTCAAAAAGCCATTTGGCTTTGTTAAAATGGTTTTAATGACCATCTTCTTCTATGAACTCAGGAGCTGAGTGGTAATAATTATGTATGGAATTGTGATCCACACATCCCGAGTTTGAATCTTGCTTGGGCTTTTGTTTATATTTACTAAATTGAACTTTTAGAATTTTTTTATCCACAAATTGCAAAAAGTTTTGCTTAATATTAAATATATGTACAGATTATTTATTATGATATCTTTCATAATCAGTTATCTTTTAAGATAAGGGACTTTCTCCAGGTGTAGACAAGGGCCACAGTATACAAGTGAAATTGATGCAAAGCATCAAATCGGATGCAAACAAAATTTAGGATTTCAAAAAGTATTTTAAAAATTATAAAAGCATCGATCCATGACGATGCAAAAAACATGATCATATTTATATATTATAAAGCTGAAATAGTGATCATTTTTATTTCAGGCTGTCTTCAAAGCAAAATAGATAAATGATTTTTTTAAAATTAAATCATGCAATAGAAATTTATGGATTCATCAGTTTCATACAGTTGATGATAAATGATAAGAATTTATTGACATCAAATTGAAAATGTATGCCGTTCAAGATGTACTACAGGCTGTCCCTTGATCTTTGTCACGTGATACTGCACATGGTTTCTGCAGAGTAGGATATGGTGCAAAATGTTGAAAAAAATTATCCTTGTGTCATTCGCAGCTGTAGCATATTCAAAACAATTTTTACTTGTTGATCAACTTTTTTAAAAAAAATTATTATTTCACCGGTGTCTTCTAGCTATTCCCACTTTTTAAAAATCTCAATTCCACCTATTCCCACTTGCAAATAACAATAGATGTTTTGATTCGTTAATTTGTTTTTACAGTAATTAGACTAATTACATCCCCTTTTTAGATTTACCTGTATTTTACCATTATTTTGTACATTTTAAGACAGAAAACAAATATATTTATAGAAAAATATTTAAAATATACTTAAATTCACTGAAAGAAATACTTTTGCATGTGTGTAATTATTATTAAATTTTTTTATTTAAAATAAAATGCTCTATATTATGAAATGTTTTACCACACACCAGTCTATTGCAATGTGATTTTTTAATGAATAAAAATAAATAACTTATCTGCTATTTTTATTTAAAAGTCTAATTTCTCATTGATCAATGTAGATTTTTTCTGACTACATCTGAAAAATACAGACTAATCAGTAATCTAGTATTATTTCAGATGGTTGAACTTACACCTGGTTCAGGGGTCTACCTGTATAAGCATGATTTGGAATATGTACAAAGAATCAGAGACCCATCAATGCAAGGAACAGCAGCTTATGGAAAGCGCATGGCAAAACTGCTGATGAATATTTTCTTTATAAAGAAAGATTTCCCTGACAGTAAACTCTCGCCAAACGCTAAAGGCCATCATCTGCTTGATGAAACCATTACAAGTGCGATTATCAGTAAGTTTTTTAGCTCAACTGAGCCGAAGACTTTTCTGAGTTTTCTGATCACATTTTGTCCGGCGTCTGTCTGTCTGTCGGTTTGTACACTTTTCACATTTTTGACTTCTTCTCAGGAACACTGGACCAATTTCAACCAAACTTGCCACAAAGAATCCTAGGGTAAAGGGGATAGAAGTTTGTTCAAATGAAGGGCCACAACCCATTCCAAGGAGAGATAATTAAAAATTGCTGAAAAATTAATGGCATCTTTCCAAAATCTTCTTCTTAAGAACCACTTGGCCAGGAAAGATGAAACTTACGTGGAAATATCTTTAGGCAGTGTATATTTAAATTCGTTCAAATCATGACCCTTGGAGGTAGGGCAGGGCAACAGTGGAAGATCAAAGTTTTACATAGTAATATATGGGAAAAATCTTCTTGAGAATAGCAAAGCAAAGCCATGATTGGTCATTTACAAGGAAACATCCACAGGTAGTGTAGATTCAAGATTGTTCAAATCATAACCCCCGGGGGTAGGGCGGGTTGCAATGGACGATCAAAGTTTCACGTAGGAATGTATATAAGGAAAAATCTTTTAAAAATCTTCTTCTTGAGAACAGCAAAGCCATGATTGGACAGACTTATATGGAAGCATCCTCAGGTAGAGAATATTCAAATTTGTTCAAATCATGACCTCCAGTGGTTGGGTGGGACTACAATGGATAATCAGTTTACATAGTAGTATAAAAGATAAATCTTCTCAAGAACAGCAAAGTCATATGATTGGTCTTGTTTATATGGAAGCATACTCATGTAGTGTAGATACAGATTTGTTTTAAGAAACACCTTATACCTAACATTTTTTACATTATTTTCTTTTAATTTAAATATCTATTATTTTCATTAATTTGTTTTCAGATTTTTCTGTGCAGAAGTCAAGTGCAACAAAAGGGGCCATTCGTCAAGCAATGTCATCAAAATTAACATCGGCAAGAGCAAAGAGCAAAATTAAGAAAGTTGAATCAAAGAAAGTTGAATCAAAGAAAGTTGAATCAAATAATGTAGAAAATAATGTAGAGTAGACTTAAATATATACTCATCTGAACTTATGACAAAATTAGTTGTTATTATTATTATTAGTTGAATTCTACAAAGGCTGCCAACCATGTTCATCGTATACGTCAGTTTGCTGTCCTAAAGGTACTCGAAATATTTGAAACACGCTGCATCACTACTGCCGACCAAAGCTTCCATATTTGGGTATATCGTACTGCTGTGCAGTACTAATTTAAATATTTGAAACAGGCTGCAACTCTACTGCTAGCCAAAGCTTCCATATTTGGGTATACTGTACTGCTGTGCAGTAGAAATTTGAAACACACTGCAACAGCTCTACTGCTTAGCAGCATTAGTACTGCAGGCCAGTAGAATTCCACTGCAAGCAGCATATACTACTGCAGGGCAGCATATACTGCCTGGCAGTCTTCTTTGCAGTACAATTGCAGTCTTAATTAGCATATTTGAAACATACTGCAAGTTTGCTGCTTCATTGTATTTTTCCATTTAAAAGCCCTGCAGTACATTTGCAGCACTACTGTAGCACTACTGATAGTCTACTGGGATTTTATACTGATAATGTGCTGCATATATACTGCAATTATGCTGCAAATCCGTAAGGGCAATGACTGTAACTTGATGCCTGAAATAACATCAAGAAAATTTAATGTGCTGCATATATACTGCAATTATGCTGCAAATCCTACCCCCAGGGGTGGATGGAGACTTTAGGTCTCTTGCACTTCCAACACTGGCACTGCTTTCTAACGGAAGATTCAGACTCCACCTCTTGTTTGGTGGATCAGACCGCCTTTTTCCACCTCTTCTTTTCACCACCACTTCACCCCCCTCTGGACTGTCCTGTGCTGCACTGATATTTTCCACCCTGGGGTGCCTTAGTTTCACTGAACTCTGTTCCTCTGGAAGTGCTCCATTGGAATTGAAATTTGCTAGATTATCACTAAAAGAGACAGCTCGATGCATCCTCTTTTCCACCTCTTCCTGAGTTGCTCTCACCTCCTCCTTTGAGATTGACCTTTGCATCAACTGTCTTTGGTGCAGCTCTCCACTTGTACTTCTTTTCATTTGATTGGAATTTGGTTTACTTTTCTCAGTTTTCAAATCAAAAGTAACACTAATGCTTCTTTTCATTTCACGATTTCCAGTGTCCATTGCTCCACTTCCACTTCTTTTCATGGTGGATGAAACAGTCCCCCTACACAAGTTATCCCATTTGGATTTTCCACCTTGTCCTGGGGATATGGCTGGGAAATCCATCTGAACACCATCTAGGTTATCCTCATGTCCATTTGTTTTATTCTGCAGTGGCAGTCCTTTAGGGGTGGTCACTGATCGTTTCTTACCCCCTGAAGTTGGAGTTTTGGGGCGATCGGGTGGACCTTTCCCTTTGGCTGATGCCTCCTTGACACCTGATCTTCTTCTTTGAGAATTTGTGCTCATCTTGTTTTACTATAAGGAAATTCTCCTATGTACCTCAAAAATACAATACAAACACTGAAAAAGTGGAATTCCTTAAAGAAAATAATCCTTTCCAAAATGCTTGTTTTAAAATCCTCTCCAATATAAAATTTTTAAACCAATCACTTCAATCTGTGATTTTCAAAAAAGATGTTCCTTACTGTACCATGACACCTTTTACTTTTGTACAAACCTTTCCTTCACAAGATATGTAAATGATTAGAAATCCGGTATGAATTATGCCACATCAAGCGCTAATGAATCCGTGAAACTAAGACAATCATTTGTCACACTAAAAAATTCCAGTACTGGTTGGAGTTTTAGGGTTGTGTGGATGGGCTCCTCTGCTCCAGTGCCCTAATAAAGCTTCAGCACACAAAACCTCCCCATTTTATCTGCACCAGAAGCCCCATTTGGATCCATAAAGGTAAAACATTAGGTATATGACACCTGTGTGTCAAAAGAAGATCCAGATACTTGTAACAAGACAGGGCATTGTTTAGAATCATCACATACTATGGAGTCTTTGTTTAGGCTTACCTATACTTATGATAAAAGGGTCTTTAAATTACCAGGCTTATGCATTTGAAAGGTAAGAAGCATTCATCCCCCCTTTTGATTTGTAACAGATCCAGGGGCTGCTATTGGATGAAGATTATCACCGTCCCTTTTTCTGAAGGTCCTCTAAAAATAGGCACTGATTATAATAAATTGTAAGGAGGACACATGTCCCTTTCAATTAACAAGTTTTTTAATTAGTTATTCATCCCACAAGTATGACACAAAATGTGCATATATTTAGTTCTCCTGTCCTGTATTTTAAGTATGCACACAATACCAGTGGAAATTAATCTACAAGATTAGATGACTTTCTTCAACCTCAACAATGCACTTAAACAATTTTAGCACAGTCATGAAACTTTTTCTGTATCCTGAACAAAACAGAGAACGACCAAATTTCTTATTTTTCCTAATATGTATTCATTAACACGAACACCTATTTCTCCAATTACACAAGGCTCTGGTGTAGTTTTTCCCAAATCGGTGTGTTATCTATCAAATCACTCGTGCTAAAACTCTCAAAATGAATCAAATGACATGCATGTCTACAATTCAATCACCGCTCTTCAAGATAAAACATCCCCCCAAATGGAGTATCGGTTCCAATATAGATTAGGTCCATCCGTGGATAAATAAAAATTTTCCAATTCAAACAACTGGCAGTAGGTAACCCTTGTACGAAAATTAACTTGGAAGTGGTTGGATGGCTCGAATTGCGACACAGATTGGTCTCTGTTTACATCTTCACACTGAAAACCTGAACGAATGGGAGGAAGGAAAAGGGAACATATTTCACGCTTTTATCTTTTTCTATGTGGAATTTGTAAAAGTTTGCTGAATAGGTAGGCGCTATTATCTTCAAATAGTATGAATGGTGGATAAAATCTCAAACTGTCAATCGTCTCTCTATAGTCAGGAGATACATTTAAAACTGTGTTGATGATCAGTGATCCATGTTCCTTGTGTATCCTACAGAGAGAGAGGGGGCAATACACCTGCTTGTTTTCTTCTTCCTTAAGTCCACTTCAAAATAAATCAGGGTAGCCTCTTTCAAATATAATCCTCTAGATTCAGTGAAATAACCCAATCTTAGTCCAAATGACCCACTAATGGGTCGATTCTTCCCCAAATTAGTCCTCAGTTCTCACAGATGCTAGAAATACAAGGTAAAAATCTGATCTTGTCAGAAATTCATTTGTCACCCACTAAAAAAAAACTACTGCATTTTCACTTTCATCCTTTGATGTGCAGCAGGCTTCTGAGAGATGTCCTTATTTCCAGTCCCAAATAATTAATGATAAAGGTATGGCAGAAAAGCGGATAAATCCAGGGGTGGAAGTCAAGCAGACTATCATGGGCCCTCCTTAAAAAGATTGTTCTTCAAGAGGACTTTCCACTTTTCTCAAATCAATAAAGTCCCTCTATTTGCACAAAGTATCAATGTCTGAAGGCATCTTGGTGTCCTTAAATCACATATGCTATCTAAAAGTAAACACTACTAAGGTCCTACAAAACGAAATTCCTCTGCCCTCTCGGGTGTTTCTGCAGTGGGTCCTGGAACACACAAAACGCACCCTAGATCACTCCTAAACAATGCTATCTGATGCTTCAATTGAACCTCAAAACAATTAGTAGAAACAAAATAGTCCTCAAAATGACAATGGCATATTATTTAAAAACAGCCTTCAATTCGAACGAATTCAAAATAGCATGGTCATTATGGTACCACCTTGTAAAATGGATGTCAGCGCAATTCTTAAAGAAGGTCTCATTTTGGGGTTAACTGGGACTTATTTCACTAAATCCCGCTTTGGGACAGAGATAGAACAGTAAAAGCTTTTTTCTGTGAATGGCACAACATGTATCTTTTACAAGGGAATACGGCCATTAGTCGACTATGACGACCATACAAAAAGATCCTTGACAATTACATAATTAACACTTGCTTTCACAGTCATTGCATGCAACCTTGTCACTCTTTTTGGAGACTTTTTAAATGTCAGTGTCTTCAAAAGATTTGAAGTTTTACTATTTACTTTTGTATGCAATTTTATCTCCTGTTTAATCATAAGCTATCATGGCTTATCTACCTTTGAATGAACATTCTCATCAGGCAAATTTTTCCCCCTTTTTCATATATTTCTGCATATCACCATAATTTTTTTAAAAGTTATATTTTTCAATGGAAAAGTAAGACAGCAACACTGTGTATTCCTTCAACAGATTTAAGTCAATCAGAAAGTCAAACAAAATACACAAACTGTCGAGTGACCAATCGACTCCCAGATTAGCTTGGTAACTTAGCTAAATTCCCAATGACCACTACATGTTGCGCAGCCTTGCCAATTCCCAGTTTAAATATAAACCCTTTTTATCAGCCTGTTCGAGAGACTTGTTTACTAAATCTTAGTACAAACAGATATGTTGCCCACTTTGACAATTACATCACAAGACAAACACAGGCCTGACAATGGTTTTGGACATATTTCTACTGCTCAGGAACCCATAAATTAAATGACTATGTGTCTTTTTTGGTACTCTTAAGCAAACATAGAGGGTATCAAGACAGCTAACAAATTTAAAAAAACATATAAAATACACATAAAAGCAATAATGAAGAACTTGCGTAAAGTTAAATTTGCAGTAAGTTGAGGGGGGTGGGTGGGTGGGTGGGGCTTATGTAGCAAAATTTGATTTTCAAATGACATCTATTGTATGCTGTGGAATTTTACAGTCTGAAATACTTGAATGACAAATTGTCAATAAAACATTATGTTCAGAACTTGTTAAGAAGGAAAACGGGACACCATTCTAGTTTTTTTTTCTTAGAAGTTTCGAGACATCAGAGCAATTTTAAAACATGTCATAACAGAGGAAAATTTGCAAAAGGATAGACTACTTGTTTAAACCACTAAATTCTTTAAAAAATTAGTTTTCAACTACTCTACCATACCTCTTTTAAAGCTCAAAAGATAGAAAGAGGGTAAGAGATGAAAAATTATTGCAAAGAAAATACTACTTTCTATGTAATTCAAAAACAAATCAATCTAATTCACTTCTAAAGGATCAAGAAAAACAATTAGTGCCAACCAATTACAAATTCTCTTACCTCTGAAATATACACCTTGAATGAAGAAATAATGTAAAACTAATGAAACACTTGGAGTTTTGTCATACAACCCCATTCTAATATTTTTTTCTTTATATGGATTAAAGATCAAAGATTTTTAGCATGTCAGAATAGGGTCTAATTGTCCTTACTGCTGTTAATTCAGAAGATACCAAATTTAGTCTTTTTTTAACTGAAGGATAAACTAATTCATTTATTAACTTCTCAAAAAGTGAGACCTGTGCAGTCAAGGATATCCCCTTTTTTTGAAAGAGCAAATTACAGGCCAGAGTGGGGAGGGGGATGGAGTGAGGAGTGGGAGAACTTCTTTTTCAACTCCCTCTACTTCCTTAATACGGACAAACATAACATACTTTACCTTTCTCAATCGTTTGACATGATTAAGATTTGCAGGGTTGGCCTTCAATCTTGGAGAATGTTTAGTTGTGACTGCTG